CGAAGTTACAATGGCACTGAAAAAAGTGCCCCCCAAGGCACAGCTGAGCAAGACACCTGTCTGCCCACTCGGCACTGCTCTCATTCCCCTCTTTTCTAGGATGGTCGCGTACCACCTGCCAAGTGCCAATGTACCACAGGTGGTACCCATACCACTGGTTGAAAAGCCCTGCTCTAGCAGGTCAGTTAGAGCCCTTCAGCTTAGCAGCCAATTTTTTCATAGGTTTTTCTCTATTTTCACATGAAAAGCTCCTAATTCTGGCCAGGTCACCTTGACCTGCCTTCACCTTGTCTCAGCAGTGGGCTGACAATAACATGGAGGCTCTGCTTTGAAAATTAATACTCTCAAAATACTCTGTGCTTTTGAGTTGGAGTAAGGGTGATGTACAGAAAAATGTGTTTAGAACCTCATCCATTAGCTGGAGTAGGAGGATTTTTCTATTTGCATTGACTTGACACAAGGAATAAAGTTGAAATGTATTCTTTCTTGGTAGAAACTTTTAACTCTTGTTCTATGCTTCATTTAGGGCTCTCAAACTCAGACAGTCATGAGAAGAAAGTAAATAGATACAGACAGGGCCAACTCTTGTGTTTGCAGAGTTTTGTAGCGCACATGTGATAGCCCTATTTCAGGCTCAACAGTACATGCAGAAAGTGTCAAGCCCTTCACAGTGTGGCATGATCAAGAAGCAAATAATACAAAGTATTTGATGAGGTGTGTTTTAATGCAAAAATTGTAGAGTACAGAATTTTGGAAATTGTAGTAGGATTCTTTGGTATTCATTTATTAGTAAATTCATTAAGGCAGCAAGTGTTTGAACATTTTAATACTCTTCTTCCCAAGGTTTTTGCAGGCCAGACTCAGCTCTACTTGAGATAAATACTATGAATTTATCTTCAATCTACCTTCTATATCTGGATCTTCTTCAGAAATGTTAGATTTCAGCTGTCAGAATTTCTAGCCACCTTAGTTTAAGACTGGAGAAGGGTTACAAAACTTAAATAAAGAATACAAGGAAGGGAAAATCTAATGCCTTTCTTCTCTCCAGCTTGGTCAGTTGTTGTTGTTGTTACTGTTGTTGTTGTTGTTGTTATTATTATTATTATTATTATTATTATTATTATTATTATTATTATTATTATTATTCACTGCACAGTCAGCCAGATATTTAGACTGGACTGGGAATTTTTATCTACCTGTTGAGTCCTCTCAAGGACCTGGGATAGGCAAATGTTATTTGATGTTTTAAAGCTATTGTAGTATGTAAGCTACTACTACTATTATTATTATGGTTAATCTTCAATTCTATGCATAGTCTGGGACTGGTAAAATCTTAACAGTTGAAGTCCTAATCAAGGATCTAAGAGCTGTTAAGGTAGCAATCTAAGTATATAGACAGTTCCGAGTAGGTGCTTTTTTTCGCAAAGTCAGGATATTCCAGTCTAATAAGTTCAAAAATTCCATGTATCTAGGCAGCCCAAGGGAACATTATTATTGGTACAACCATTGATTTCTTCCTCCATAATCACTCAACTTCAATTTGCAAATCACAACATTTTGTTATTTTCTTCTAGCTTTCTCCACAATTCTTGCACTGGTATTGCAATATCAATGAACCAGACTTTTTTCTTTTCCCCAATAGTGATGTCATGAATGTTGTGGGCCAGGTGTCTGTTTGTATCCAAAAGTCCCATTTAAATGTATTAGCTACCTAATTCTAATGGACTCTTTAATAGTATGATTAATTATTAACAATACTAAGTTACTTAAAATAGTATGTATTCTATTGCATTGTTTTAATATAATAAATACTGTTAGAATGATGGACTTTGTCAATCCAGTTTTGGGGCCTCAAAGATTTATTTCCTTTGCGCAGGTTTTCAGCATATATGGACATCACCAAGAAACCAGGAATATTAGGGTCAGGAGATATATTTCAAATTACTGTATATACTCAGGTATAATTCCATTTGCTGACCCTCAAATTTTTAACAAAAACATGAAAAATGTGCCACGCACAGATACATCATGAAAATTAAAATATGAAAAAATGAGGATTTACTTATTTGCAGGTGGGCTTATACATGAGTACAGACAGGACATATCAGTTCATTTAAAAACCTGAGGGAGGAACCTATATATATAGAAAGAAAAAGAAAGAAAGATTTCTCTCTCCCATATTTGGGCTGACAGGGTGCATCAAAAAAACACTCAAGGTAAATCTCCTCCCCTTGTCTCTTCCCTCCCTGATACAGCTGACAAAGTGAGAAAGAGCCTGTGCTCTAGAGGTTAACACAGCTGCCTAACATGTAAGCAGCCCAGGTTCGAATCTCAGAAGGGTATGTTTGGCTGAAGAGAGCTAAGAAGCTCGAAATAGCTATTCCATCCTCCCTTATTCTTTGTTAGCAATCCAATATATATATGTATATTTGTTTTCTGAGGTTTTTGCGGGTGTTTGAATGTAGGTCTTTGGTTATTCGGGTTTTCTCCTGTGTAAAATTGAAAGTGTCTTGGCGACATTTCAACGAAGTCCCATTCATCATCTTCAGGCTGGTGTTTTCAGCTTCGTGCTTCTAGGAGAAATTTGCCTTTAATTTCCAGAGAGCTAGGGAGGGTCCAGTCAAAGATGCTTTCTCCACCCACATTCCTTCTGTGAGCTGAAATATCTCTTATCTAGCCTGCAACTCTATCTCCTGTCTCCCAAGGTCATTCTAACATCCCATTACAGTATCCTGAAAACTGTATGGTAATTATCAGAAATCAGCATGATTTCAAAGTATTGGAAGTATCTTCTCTTTTGTGTTGTAACTATTTCAATGGATTAAGGGAAAGCCATAGATACACTATATCTTGATTTCAGTAAAACATTTCCAAGAGTATTCAATGTCATTTTGATCAGCAAGTTAATTAAATGCTGGATAGATAGTCTAGGATTAGGATTTTAGCAAGTTAATGGCATGGCAACTCAATAATTTCAATGGTTCCTTATCAAGTTAAAGAACAGAATTGAATGAATGGGCTGCCACAAAGTTGAGTTTACTCTTCAGTGTTTTTATTAAATTTGGATAGAGTGATGAAAGAAATTATTATCAGATTTGTGGATGACACAAAACTGATTATGATATATATTAAACTCAAAATGATCTTGATAGAGTGAAGTTATATTCTGAATATAACAGAATGAAATTTAATAGATACAAATTCAAAGTTCATCCCTTAGGGGAAAAAACAATTAAATGAACCAGAATAATGTGGAGAATATTTGGCTTAGCTTTCAGAAGCTTAGTAGTGCTTCTGAAAAAGATAGTAATCAACAGCATATAAATATGAATCAGAACTGTGATGTAGTTGCAAAAACAGCAAACATCATTTAGGTAGTATCAACAAAAATATAGATTCACAATGAAAGGAAGTAATCATTTCACTGCATTCTGCATTGGTCAGCCTCAGACTATTACATCCTATTCTGGGCATCACATTTGCAGAATGATTCAGAGAAACTGGAATAAGTTCAGTAGTGAGAATAATCAGGAGACTTTAAACTATTATGAAGAGAGGTTGAAGGAGCTAGATATAATTAACCCTGAGAAAACTGAGGAGTACATGATGGCACTCTTTCAAAGGCTGAAATTAAGCCCCACAGATGAAAGGGAAACCATGCCCTTTATTATTTGAATGCAGAGGATCAATAATAGATTTAGGTTAGGAAGGCAGACCCAACTATTATGTTTTAATATTATTAACAGAGGAGCCTATTAATAAGAGACATGGTGTTTTCTTGCTCATTAAATTTGTTCAAGCAATGGATAGAGACCCATCTGCTGGGATGCTTGAATAAACAGGTGATGGAATCAGCAGTGTTTTCAAGATGAGGCCAAAATAGGCAAGAGGAGGATGTGGTGTTCAGATCCAAACCCAATCCCTTTTGAATGTGCAGGTTAACAGCACCCAGAAAAACAATAAGCACAACTGGAGCATAATTCCACAGCTAACATATTTCTTATCTGATTTCCCTATTCTGTGGACATCATTGGCTAGGGCTCAGTAATATAAATTGGCTATTTCAAATGTATAGTTATATGGGTTTAATCTGACTAAAACTGACTATGATAACAAAAAGCTCTGCTTTACAGACTTACTGTAGATAGCAAAGGTTGGGAAATTTATCCTTTTCAACTTCTGAAAAGCTATGATCATTTGGAAACAATAGTACTGAAAAAAGATTCGGAAATGAAAACAACTGAAAAGATTGGACAGAATTTCTTCCTAATTTCTCACCATTAGTTATGCTGGTGAAGTTTGATGAGAACTGAACTTCAACAATCTGTGAATGCCCAACTGCCCCTTTCAAGTGAACAAGGGCTTTGCATAATGGGTCCAAAATATGATAATTTGAACATGGTCATTTGCCTCAAGTGAGAATTCTGATTTGTTCTAGGGTCCATTTGTTTCCTTGGCTACCATTTTATTTATTTATTTATAAAATTTATAGACTGCCCATTTTACCTGAAAGTAACTCTGGGTGGCTTACAGTCATGAAAAAAAACTATATAAAACTAAAAACATAAATAAAAAAATAAAAATATAAAAACATAAAAACATAAATATGTTAGTACAAAATCCATGGTATTGTCAGGAATCCTCTTCTATGCTAAAGTTCAAAGATATCAATATGCTTTCCATCCTGCTTCTCCAAAGTCCAACTTTTGCTTCCTTAGAATGCCACAGGGAACATCACTGCTTGCACAGTTCTGATCTTTGTACGTAGATATAGACCCACCATGGCATCTGAATATCTTCTGCCAGGCCTTCATAGCTACTCAGTTGAATGCTAGACTACAGCATATTAAATTAATTTTTCACTGTGCTCCTTGACTTCCATAAACATTAGCTAAAGGACATCATAACATGCAGTTTTGAAAGATGTGTGGTGGAAAGGATGGCAGTTATTTCATGGGACAGATTTAGGTTGATCAAATAATGTAAGCATGGCCAAAGAGTTTACTTCATGCTAAAAATATAGCACATTTATTAAAAATATATATTTATAAACATTGGTATGAATGGATACCGATGTCAAGATAATAAGAGAAAACGAGAAAGAAGTGATGCTACTTACTTTGTTCAAAGTTTTATCTTTTGTTTGCTCAGGTAACTCAGCAGAATCCATCTTTCCCTCCCTGTTTCTCATTTGTGACTACACCATACAAGTTCACTTGAAGCTAAAAAGCCCACTTGCCACAACCTAACTTGAACCCCAAATGAACTAATGAAATATGAAAGAAAGCTATCTAACTATCCGTGGTACACATTTTAGCATAGAAATGCTATACATTTGTCACTATTATCATAGTGTCCAGTCTTTGGCTGAACTGAAATGCTGTTTTCCAAATCAGATATTTACATATTTACAGCCATTTCTCTAGAATCAATGAAAACAGAGAACGAGAAAAAAGTAAGTTTCCTTGTAACTATAGGGAGCAAAAATCTGGCCCAGTTAATAAGCTCCAGCCTCCACCATTTGCAAGCAATCCTTTTGCGACCATTTCATATACTAAAGAGTCAGTTCATTAAGCAGTTTGCCAGGGTCTTTTCTCAGATGTCATCAGCGGGTTGCCTCAGCAACTCACAATGTTGTATAGATGTACACAAAAATGATTACAATAAGGTTTAGAATTGTCCCAATAATCCCCAGCAGGGCGAGAATGGATTCCTCCTTGCTCTCTTTCTCTTGATTTCCTTTTTCTTCTTCATTTCCATTAGTAATTACCATCTTGTTTGCCAGTTTCTCAAACGTTCTTCTCAGAGTAACCTACAGTTTAGAGAAAGAGAGTGAAGGCTAATTGACCATTTGCAATCAGAATTTACGATAGGATTACAACACATTTCCCCACCCTAGTGCTTTCCAGACAAACTAGGATCACACTCTCAGTTCTGACTATCTTCTGCACCCAGAATAAAATTATTTCTTACTGCTCATCTGAGTAAGCAAAGATTAGACGTAAATACATGGAGGAGGCAAAAATTATACTCAGGGATGCTTGAAACCAGAACAAATGCTCAGGTTATCTACCCCTGTTTTAAATACGAATACTAAGCCCTTTGAATAAAACCTCAGCTGAAACCTCAGCCACCTCTGAACTGAACTGCTATTTTTTAAATCAGCTGCCATTTCCAAATGCTTATCAAATCCAGCCCTACTTTTTAATTTCAAAAATGTGTATCCTATAAAACTCTAATGGAATAGATGGAGGATACCTCCCCAAAACAAAAAATCTTGGAGGCTTGTTCTCCCACTATAGAAGCTTGCCTTCAGCGAAGAAAAAATGGGTTAGTCATTGTTTGGCTTATTTCTTCTGTTAGACTTGCAAGCTAATTGTTTTTAAGATAGTTTATCCTCTTTTTGCATAGTTATAGATATCAGAATGATGCTGAGTAATCAAGACAATACCAGAACAATTGATGCCCATAAAAAGAGGAAAGTCTTCAGTTGTATGGCTGTGGCTGACATATTAATTTTTTTAAATCTTCCTGAAGACATCACTCCATGGATACATTGGTCCAGGGATGATAGATACAAAAATAAATAAATAAATAAATAAAGGAAAAAATTTAAAATAGAAGCTTCAGAAAGAGACAAACAATAAATAGGAAGTCAAATCTATAAGCCAAACATCTAGACTTTGCAAACAGGAAAAATTAAGCCTGGGGACTTTCAGGAAATAACCCACTATTCTATTAGCATCTCCCTAGAGTAGCACATTGTTAGGGGAGATAGTCTACCTTTTTAGAACCATACTTTATAAAACAGGGTTACAAATTCTTGTCTCAGAGCCCATAGAGAGAACCATGGATGTAGTTTGTGAGGCAGTGTTGTCACGAGCTTTGTCAATATTAGGTCTAAGCAAACTGACTAGGATTCATTTCAATGACATGCTTTGTCTTATGGAGATTCATCATTGCGTAATCAACAAAGGATGAGGTATAACCCATATTCCTCAATAACTGATTTTGCTTCAGTGTTGGAAGCATCTTCACAAAGGGAGTGCATATACAGAACTCTGTTAGACAAAAAGGTGGGGCAGACATGATTACTCTTTATACAGTATTCTCTGCCCAAAATTTTCAGAGCTATTTTTGAAAAAAAATAGTTTCTCATTTGTGCCCACTGAGAGGCAGAGACATAAAAAACATAAAAAGCTGAAACAACAATCAAAATTATAAAATAAAAGATAGCTGAACAAACAACAAACACAACAAAAGCAAAACCAACCCATAAAATGCCCTTAGGTCCATCTAAAAGGAAGTGGAATTGTGGTTCTTTGGATATCCTGGAGGATGCAGTTCCAGAGGGCAGACGCCATGACAGAGAAGGCATGCCTCCTTAGTCCAATCAACAGCTGCTGCTTGATAGATGGGATTCAAATCATGTGAACTCTGTTAAATCTTGCAGGATGGGTAGGTACTACAGGAGAAGGGGGGCACCTAAGAAAGGCTGTTAACAGCAGATGCAATGAGGGGATAATAAGCATGCCTTAGTACAGCAAAAAACTCCATAGGAGCAATCCAATCTAAGGTCAGTGTAACCTGGTCATTCCGGGTGGAAACTAAGTTGAACTGTCCAATTAACCCCAACCTGGGGGGGGGGGGAAGGGAATCAACAAATTGCTTCTGAAATTCAGCAGACTTCTGAGCCAATAGGTCAGGGGTGTCAAACTGCCGGCCCGCAGGCCGGACGCATCATGTGGAAGCCACACCCACCCCATTGCCGGCAATGGCAAAACCGACCTGATACGTTGCATGACATCATGTGACGTCGAGAGTTTGACATGCCTGCAATAGGTCCAAGTCAAAAAGCAATTGATTGTCTGACAATGACCAAAGGACTGTTGTTGATGTCCTCCATCTTTAAATTGCATTTCAGTTGTCTCAGTAGATCTACTATATGTGAATCAGGTCCCTGATGATCTGGGAAATGTTCATAGTCGCAGTGATGGTCATGAATTCCTAAACAGAATCAGACTCAAAGGGCAGGTTGTCCTCTTCCAGAATTAACAGTCCATTATCAACCAACTCCTTGACATAAAATATAGGCTGACACACAGATGGGCCTAATAGCAACCAGTCTTACCTGTTCCTTCAAACCCAGCTTACTATCTGCACGGTAACTCTGAAAATCATTAAATCCTCTCAGGTGACAAATGTCACACACCATCATCCTAGGGAAATGGCTAGTGCCACCCTTGAAATTCAGGTTGAGTATCCCAGAAGGAAATAGTGCCCTTTCAGTGTTTTCCAAGAAGGAATCCCCAGTGTTTCCAAGTTCCCTTTCAGAGGCACTGCCATGCAGGTAGTAAGACAGATGAAAAGAGTCTTCTATAAACTGATCTGGTATTTAGCAACAACAACTGAAGACTAGGACAACTGAGGAATCAGTGACCAAATGAATTTACTGAGAGCTAGCAAATGAAAACAGTCTCAAACATAAATTTTATCTGCTCCATGAGTGGTCTGCCTCCAGATTCTCATCATTTCTCCCTCTGCTCATTACAATAATCATTACCTGTTCTTACTCTCCCTGCCATAACAAAACTCCCACAAACCTTGCCCTACTTCCTAAGTTGTATCTAGCACACATTCAACTCCAAAACTAATCATGTATGCCTGGAAAGCAACTGTGGCAAACCATTCCTTGGACAGTGCATGAATTTCACATCAGAATTACACACACACACAGGACCATTAATTGATTTTATCATTTATTATCTATCCTGAATATAAAGTAAAACATGTGACAGTTCGATAAATGGCAAGAAGTCATTGTTTTCAGGAAATTCTTTTGGTCACAGTAAAAACAAGCTTTATCATATGACCAGCAATGGGTATTTGAAATGCAGAAATTCGGCTTACATCGCAATGTATTAGGTTAAATATTTATTGTGACACTGCTCTGGGATGCCAGATTTTGTCACATCAAAATACTTAGCCTCAGCCAGCAAACTAATAATTATTAAAATCAGGAGCTGGCTGCTTCTTGTAGGTATTTTCTATGTAATTACTGTATTTATTTTATGAAATCATAGAATTAGGATGGTCTTTGGAGGCATCTGGTCCATCTCTTTGCTGTTCACTGTGTAACTCAACCACATTTTGGCTGTCTCCCAAAATAATTAATATAGAAGCAATAGATTCTGGATGTTTCCTAATTATGTCCTAATTATATTCATAAGTACATCTGGAAATAAATCAAGTATTGAAAATACCACCCTTGCTAAAGCTGAATTCCACACTGTCAAAGGAATAAAAGTAGATATAGTAATATTAGACATATTGCATGTTTTTTAAAAAAATCACAATAAGAACAGTCATGTACAATACCTATGCATTAAGAATAAACAAGTACAAGTTTATGCAAAATGAAAAAATGTGTTTTGATTCAAACTCAAAGCAAAGATTTTCATTCCGAAACTTTTATGCTGGCTACGGTTTAACAGAAACAAAGGTTGAAATATAGCTTGGACTGTCACAAGGAAGAGGGGGTAAACTTATTTTCCAAAGAATCTGAAGGCAAGACAAGAAGCAATGGATGGAAACTAATCAAGGAGAGAACCAACCTAGAACTAAGGAGAAATTACCTGACAATTAGAGCAATTAATCAGTGGAATGACTTGCCTCCACAAGTTGTAGGTACTCCAACATTGGAGGTTTTAAAGAAGAGGTTGGACAACCATTTGTCTGAAATGGTATAGGGCTTCCTGCTTGAGCAGAGGGTTGGGCTAGAAGACCTCCAAGATCCCTTCCAACTCTGTTATTCTGTTTTTAGTCTTGGTGAAATCAAAACTTAAAATAGATTGAGATATTTGGGCTGAAGGAAACAGTGGGATTCAGAACAAGGGTCTTGGGTTGCAAAACACTAAAAACTCTTATAGATCCAGTAGCCTTAATATAATCTTCCCTAAATATAAAGCAACCATTCACCCTAGTTTTATAGGTATTTTAACTGAAAGAATGTGAGGACAGAGAAGCTAATTTTATATTTTTTATTTCATACACAAACCTTCCAGAAAATCACCTTCGTCAAAGAAGAAGGACATCTTGGCAAAACGTAGTCATTTCATTTCATTATTTCATTTTATTTCATTTCATTTCACTGTTTATTAAATGGATACAGGAACATGTAACATCTATCACCAACCCAATATTTAAGTTCATTTGAAGATTTATATTTATTTATTGGCAGGGAGGCAGGCAGGAATGCAGGAATGCTGCTGTCAAGAAGAGAGCCCACATCCTGAGAAACACAAAAATTCCCTCTCCCCTGGCTGTCATTATTTGCATCTTAAGTGTCAATGGCTTTAATATCTTCAGAACTCAGTAGTACATAGAACAAAAGAGTTATTATGAATCCTTCATTCAACCTTGCTTTGCAAATTCTTTTAAACTTGAAAAATGACAATAAACAAGCTAAACTAATAGCTTCAGTTAGAGTTTTGCAGCAAAGTACACTTTCAACTACATACACAGTATACCAAGGTGTGAACAGAGTACACACTCCTATATTTAAGCCTAGCAGGCAACCGGTGTGTCATATTTTGCATTTTTAATTGTACTCCGAGATCTCCACAACAAACCTGGTAAAACAGGGTGAAACACAGAGGGTAAGATTGAACACAAAAGTTAAAAATTCTGAAAGAGTCAATCAAATCAAAACAAGCTATCACTATAATATTTGGGAGCTGGATGGCAGATATGATAGTTTCCTGAGCTACAGCTTATGCTCTTTTTCCTCTTGACTGTGGAGCTTTCAGAGTG